TAGCAGATTGAGGCCAGATTGAGGCAAAAGCAGCTGGATTTATGGAAAACGACCCATGCCGGCTGCCTGTAGGAGAGGCAGTGCCTGGATGGGTCCTTAGCTGCCCCAGACCCTGTGAGCAGGTCTCACCTAGGGATGCCCCTGGCACTTTGGGAGCCCAGGGGAGAGGAGGGAATGAGAGGGTGGGCACAGGAGGAGATGATCTTCATACTGAGCTTTGCGGGCGTTCATCTGGCCTCACAACGCCACAGGGAGGTCTCTCCCACTCCACCTGAAAACACCAGTGTAATCTGGAGATACCAAAAAGGGTAATTAACATGCAAGTTTATCCTAATTCCCAGTTATCCTGATCCTTAATGAATCAAATGAGGAACTGGTTTGTGACTCAGTAAACTGAAGTCACAGAGTTCTTATGATCTGAGAAAAATGGGTCGCTGTGTTTGGTGCTTCACAGGACACGGGGCCTGCAGGCGAGGAGCCAGGCCTCAAGGGTTCAGCGAGTTGTCCAAGCCAGCGTGACTAAGGGGTTCAGCTGGGATCTCTCAGATTAACTTCCAAGAAGGAAAGTCGCTCCTTGCTCATACACTTTTTCATAACTCTCCCTGGCTGGTAAACTCAGGTGGCATTGAGGCCTTGGCGTCTGCCCCTTGGTGACCCCCATCAGGATAGCGCCTTGGCTGTGTCTCCTCCCTGGCACCCTTTACCAGAGCAGCTGGGCCTTGGGTTGCAGGGATGGAAGCCTCTATCTCGGGCGACACCTGAACGTGTAGAGTATGTGATGCTTGCTGAGCTAGAGGCTCACGGATTGGTGTCCCTCTGCTGGTTCCAGCGAGTATGTGCCTCTGAAATTCGAGGGGACTGTGGAGCCTGCTTCCAGGCTTTGAGAGCCCAAGTCTGTTGCAAATTGAATGTATTCACAAAAAGGAACGTTGAAGTCCTAGCCTCTGGTACCTGCAGCTTCATTTGGAAATACGAAATGGGGTCTTTGTAGATTTTTTTAAGATGTAAATGAGGCCAGGCACAGTGACTCACACCTGTAATCCCAGCACTTTGGGAGGCTGAGGTGGGTGGATCACGAGGTCAGGAGTGGCCAACAGAGTGAAATCTGTTGAGGTCAGGAGTGGCCAACACGAGACCAGCCTGGCCAACAGAGTGAAATCCTGTCTCTACTAAAAATAAAAATAAAAACAAATTAGCCAGGCATGATGGCGGTGCCTATATTTCTTTTTTTCTTTTTTTTTTTTTTTTATTGTACTTTATGTTCTAGGGTACATGTGCACAACGTGCAGGTTTGTTACATACGTATACATGTGCCATGTTGGTGTGCTGCACCCATCAACTCGTCATTTACATTAGGTATGTCTCGTAATGCTATCCCTCCCGTCGGCAGTGCCTGTATTTCTGAGCTACTCGGGAGGCTGAGTGAGGCTAAATCACTTGAACCCCGGAGGCAGGGCTTGCAGTGAGCCCAGATTGCCTCACTGCACTCCAGCTGGGGCAACAGAGTGAGACTTTGTCTCCAAAAAAAAAAAAAAAAAAAAAGATGTAAGTTAAGGTGAGGTCTTACTAGAGTAGGATGGCCCCTTCGTCCAATATGACTGGTGTCCTTTGAAGGAGAGGGGAGCCGGCAGCACAGAGGGACTGCCATGTGAAGACACGGAGCTGATGGCCCTGTGAGGACGGAGGCCGAGTTTGGAGCTGCGTGTGGACCAGCTTACAAGAGCTGAAGGTCGTCCGAGGGGACCAGAAGCTGGGGGAGAGCGGGTACGGCAGACACTGCTGGCCTCTGGAACTGTGAGAGAAATGTTGGTGGTTGTTTTGTGAAAATGCATTGTAGCAGCCACAGAAAACGACAAGGCCCCTCTCCCGGCCTGGGCTTTCGTTTGCTGGTCTGGAGGGTAAGGGTGCCGGCCGCGCCATCCAGACACTTCCCGCCTTGCACGCGGGGCCTCCTCAGGGGTTTGCCTTGACTCCCCCGGTCTCAGCCGTCACTGAGGGCAAGTGGCGGGAGCCCCTGAAAAGTGCTGTCACTGCAAGGCTCCCTCCCTGAGAGGCCTCTGCCTTCTGGGAGGTGCAACTGCCCTGCACAGAGGACTGAGGCAGGGTCCACCAGAGAAGGCTGGCTCGATCCTCTCCCCTGGTCTCAGCCCCTGCGGGCACTATCTGGCCTTGGAACTGGGGAGGTGGATGTGGTCAGGCCCTTCCTCCAAGTCAGTTTGGTCACCCGTGTGCTCTGTTACACACAGAGTGTTACACACAGAGGGGTCTGTCCCTTCAGACAGCAGTTCTAGGCATACCTCTGGGCACTGGTGGCCCCAAGAGGAGTCATTCCCTGACCCTGTGGAACTCCCAGCTAAGCAAGACAGGCATGTTGAAATTCTAAGATCACATGGTAACTCTGTCAGTCACTCCTGTTGTTTATGTCAGTCATACACGTTAGATCTAGAAGAGGTAGAAAACACAAGCGGCCGGGTGTGGTGGCTCACACCTGTAATCCCAGCACTTTGGGAGGCCGAGGCGGGCGAATCACAAGGTCAGGAGATCGAGACCATCCTGGCTAACACTGTGAAACCCCGTCTCTACTAAAATACAAAAAATTAGCCAGGCGTGGTGGTGGGCACCTGTAGTGCCAGCTACTCAGGAGGCTGAGGCAGGAGAATGGCGTGAACCCAGGAGGCGGAGCTTCCAGTGAGCCGAGATTGCGCCACTGTACTCCAGCCTGGGCGAGAGCAAGACTCTGTCTCAAAAAAAAAAAAAAAAAAAAAAAGGAAAAGAAAACACAAGGTGTAGTAGTTAAGGGTCTTTGAAAACCAAATGACACAGTGCCCATATCCAACTGACTTAATAAAGGACAATGATTGGCTCCTGGAACAAAAGGGGAATGGCTTCAGGAGGGGCTTGATCCAGCAGTTTGTCTGGAGACCTGTTACCCATTATCTGCTTTCCCTCAGGCTGGCCTTGTGCTCAGGCTCCCCTGTGAGGCTCTGGGAGCAGCTCAGTCTTCCCTTGGGGCTGCAGAAGGGCAGTGCCACCCCTGGGCTCGTGTTCCTCTGCTGGGAATCCTAAGGAAGAGGGGGAAGCATTGTCTTTTTCGGAAGCCCCAGAAAATGTCTCCTCAAGACTCAGTGGCTCTATTTGATTTCTCCCCCATCCATTAACTTGCTGCTTTTCTGGTGGGCATGGATGTGCGGTTGGATTTCAGCCTATCAGGGCCTGGCCTGGAGCTGGGGATGGGGTCAGTCCCATTCAAGTCACAGATCTGGGAATGGTGGTTCTCCTGGAGCAACATCTGGGTGCTGTCAACACCAGGAGGGGCCATCCATGGTGGCAAGAAAACCCAGAACTGTCCACTGAATGGGCCAAAGGAGGGAATTAAGATCAGCCTTGGTGCCGCCACCCGTGGCCACCGTGGCACGGGGGCCTGTGCTTCCAGACCTGGGTGATGCGTGGAATGGTGATGGTGACTATGCGGATGCTCCGAGGGGATGACGGCGTTCCCTGAGTGATCACTGCGCCCCAAGCTCGGTGCTCAGCACTGCTCAATACACATTGAGCCATTGAATCCTCAGCACCCCAGACAGAGTTCAGTTATTGGGCAGAGATTTACGGAGCCCCTGTTCTGTGCTGGTCATTGGCATGGGTAGGAGATGGAGACGACTCCCCATCATGGGCTGTGTTCTTGCAGGCTTTCCCCATGTTACAGGTGTGAACACTGGGGCCCAGAGAAATGAGGCCACACAGCTGGAATGTTGCAGATCTGAGATCCAACCCCAGGGCCTTTTACTCCAAAACGTGTGTGCTTAATGTGTGTCTATACATGCTGGCGAGTTTTCTTTTTAAACAGCTGATCGCCCTCAGATGTCCACCGCTGGCCTGTTTGGCTGCCCTTCTCCAGGCCAGCAGCCAAGATACAGTGTTGCCCGCAGGGGCGACCGACTGGGAGCCTTGAAACAAGTGGAGCTGGCGAAGCAGGGCCCTGAGCTGTGTGCATGGGGCCTGGCTGCAAATGGCCCAGTGAAGGCTCCATGCATTTCCGTTTTTGAAGCTTGAGCCCTTTCTTCTCCATGAGGCTGACCCACTAGGCTGGCTTGGTCACATACTAGCTGTGCGGTCCTAGCTTAGTTACTTTACCTCTCTGGGCCTCAGTTTACTCATCTGCAACGGGTCGGCAAACTACTACCCTCGCCCGAATCCAGTCCGTTGCCTATTTTTGTAAATAAAGCTTTATTGGCACACAACCATACTCACTCACTCACAGAGCGGCTGCAGCTGCTTTTGCACAGGGCAAGAGGCCCTGTGGCCCGCAGAGCCTGAAGCCCCTCGATGTGGCCCTTACTGGAAAACCTGCCAATCCCTGACCAGCAGATGGGATGATTGTGTGCGGGAGAGTGGAGGCTCTGAGAGGGCAGGGCTGTGTCTGTGGCTCTCACCAGAGTGTCCCCTCCCTGTCACCAACCCATGGGGTCGTTGCAAGACTCGGAGAGAAACTGTGTTCAGTGTCAAGCACAAGGCACACAGTACATGCTCAGTAAGCTCTAGCTTTGGTTCCTCCCGTGATTAAACAAAGGCAAGGAGGACTGCCCCGACAGGCTCAGAGGGCCCAGGGTCTGGAATAGGAGCTGATCCTCGGGTTAGACCACTCGGCTCTTAAAGTGGCTGCCGGTTGAGAGGCCTGTCTCAGCTGCCGCTAGGTGCAAATTAAAAGGATTAATGGACACCGCCGTCTTTGAAAGGCTCAAGGCCCACCGAAGCCCCTTCAGCAGAGGGCTCTGCATTCTCTCTTCCCCAGTCCTCCTTGTGTGCCCCCGTGAGTGGCGGTGACAATGCTCCCGGATGTGGGCCCCAAGGCCAGCGGCCCCGGAGCTGCCCGCCCACCCGTCCGCCAGCTATTGTCTGCTCCGGCCTGGCGGTGTGGCGCTGGGCTTGTGGGGCCCCAGCGGGCAGGGGACTGTGGGAACGGATTAGAGGTCCTGGGCTTGCTTTCCTCGTCTTGCATAAACTCTTGATCAAAGACATTCCTGGGATGACAGAGCCCTGTGAGCTGCGAGGCTGGCCCAGCGTGCGGGACGCACACCCCATGCTGCAGCCCCTGCACAGGCCTGCCCTTGCTGGCCCTCGCTGGCCCTGGCTGCAGTGCTGACTCTGGGGACTAGCCTTATGGTGGGACTGGTGATGGAGCGGGTGCCAGGAGGCAACACAGCCTTCCCCACCAGATTCAGAGGCCAGGCCCTCGATGCTGGGCAGAGCCAGGCTGTGACTCTGCTTCCTGGGGTGCTTCAAGGAGGGTCACGCTGCATGCAGGGTGGCTGGAGGGAGTGCCAGCTGCATGCCACTGCCGCTGGGCCTGGCTTCTCTGGACTCCCACGGGCACTGCCCCATCCTCTGCAACAGCCCTGCCCACTGTTATCCCACAAGCACGGTCGGAAGTCTGCATGCCCGCTCTGTCCAGCCTCCTTCCTCTGTCCCCTCAGGGACTTTCACTCCTCATGACAACTCTAGGTGTTGTCTGGGCCCCTGGGGAATCCCCGGCCCTTCCAGCCATGGAGTCAGCTCCTGGCACGTGGATCAGGCTGGACCTATGGATCTGCAACTCAGCCTGGCAGCTTGGGGCTGCCCTGTGGGAGCCGACACGACCTCCTTTCCATTTGGCCCCCTTCCTAGGACCCACTGTTTGCCAGGGTGGGGAGAAGGGAGGCAGAGAGGAATCAGGGAGACTTCCATCCTGGAGGGACTCAGCCGGAGCAGGAAGGTGCCCAGGTATGACAATCCCAGACTGCCAGAGCCACCTGCCTGGTGTGGGGTGGGGAAGCCTCCAGAGAGCCTGTCCTCACAGTGAGTGCGGAGATGAAGGGTCCTGTGGACCAAGGCGGTGGGCCGAGCACAGAACAGGAAGCTTGATTCTGTCTGGTGTGTCAGGAGCTCCTGGGCAAAGACATCGAGCTTACTGGGGCTCAAGGCTGGGTAGAGATGGGGCTGAGTCCCAAGGACCTTGGACGGAGCTGAAGGGAGATAGGAAGGCCGGGGGTTGGGGGCAGAAGATGAAGAATGGATGAGGACTGTCTGCCTGCAGGGACAGGGGCCAGGAGGCAGGGCAGGGTCCCTCGTGAGCGGGTAGGGGTGCTGGGGCACCTGAGAACAGGCTTCTGAGAAGGGGCTGCAGGGAGAGCTGACTGCGGAAGTCGTTGTCTCTGAACTTCCTCAAAGGTCAGTTTTTTACTGTCACCCTCTGGGCAGCGCAGATACTCCAACACTGGACGAGGCCTTCACTGCGTCCCAGGAGGGATCACAGGCCCCAAAGTGGTGTCAGTGGAGTTTGAGAGTTGGGAACAAGGGCCCAGAGTAGCCAGACCACACCTTTGATATGGTTTGGCTGTGTCCCCACCCACATCTCATCTCGAATTGTAGCTCCCATAATTCCCACATGTGTCGGAGGGACCCGGGGGGAGATAATTGAATCATAGGGGCAGTTCCCCCCATACTGTTCCCACGGCGGTGAGTAAGTCTCATGAGCGCTGATGGTTTTATAGGGGTTTCCCCTTTCACTTGGCTCTCATTCTCTCTTGCCTGCCTCCATGTAAGATGTGCCTTTCGCCTTCTGCCATGACTGTGAGGCCTCTCCAGCTACGTAGAACTGTGAGCCTATTAAACCTCTTTTTCTTTATAAATTACTCAGTCTCGGGTATGTCTTTGTTAGCAGCATGAAAACAGACTAATATAGCCTAGCAGCTCGTGGCATGACCACGATGTATAGACCCACCCTTCACTGGGGGGGGTGTACAGACTCCCCCACTGTGGCACAGCCAGGGGTGGAGGGTGTTCAGACCCCCCCAT